TCTCTCTCTCTCTCTCTCTCTCTCTCTCTCTCTCTCTCTCTCTCTCTCTCTCTCTTCTCTTATAAGCTTTGGTTTAGTCCTTCAAAACTTGAAACATAATTTTGTATGTATAATAAGCATACTTTAAACTATATTTAAGACGGATAAATATCATTATCATGAAAAGAAACAAAATATAATATCATATTTCTCAATATTAATTAAAGTTTTAAGAAGAATTAGAAAGAAAAAACATAATTTTTTTAAAGTCATTAATAAAATATGTAAATATTAAGGGAGTGTTATTGTTTTGTGATTTAAATAGTGTTTTAATGACTTTAAATGTTATGGAGTGTTATTCAATCAAGGTATTTTTACATCTATTTTAAAGTTTGGTGTTATTAGTTTTAATTTGTAAAGAGTCATCTAAAATCTTTATAATCTGGGATTATTTGACTTTGAATTTTATAAAGTCAATAAAAGTTTTTTTATTCAACTAAAACAAAAGAATCTCTAATTGTTAATAAATTAAATTATTATGTTATTGGTTTATGACTCTATACACTTTTCTTCACAATATAAAATCATGAAATTTATCATTAAAACAGAGAAAATTATGGAATTTACGAGCTTATGAAAAAAACAAATCAACAAGATTATAGAAAACTCTGTAGGAATCGTTTAGAATCTTTAATTTATTTACTTTCTGTATAATTCAATAACATATCCTAATTATTCATTACATCAATTAGAGTTAGAGTTTTATCAATGGATCAAACCTAAGTTTACTGCATCAAACGATGGTTTCAGATTTTAAGACCTTTACTATAGAAACTGAGTCTTCGAAAAATGTAAATTTATCAAAGACTCAAAGTCAATTGAGTTCTATAAAATTTCTTAATAGTTTCATGTTTTTTCATGCCTCAATTTATGCCCTATATATTAAATCTTAATTGTTCATCATTTGACTCAGAGATAGAGTACTTTATATGTACAAGAGTTTATTGTATCATAAGGTAAAATTCCATAGAAATGTGGGATACTTCTAGGCCAATTACAATTAATTTACTTGGTTTCTTTATGTTTTTGAGTGCCAAAGATGATGCAAATAATTTATCATGGCATGCAAAATCATGAGTTGGATCACTTTTTTTTTGGGCAAAAGAACTTTTATTCACTTTAAACCTGAAATGAGGGAAATTCATACAACTTGAAGCTAATGCAATACAAAGAGAATAAATATAAAGGCTCAATGGGATTTTCCAAGGAGATGCTCAACTTTTTGAAGCTTGCTATGTTTGAAAAATCATTGGGAACCATGGAGGATTCATAAGTGAAGACGACCTTCAAGAAGTCCTCGACAAACTGATGGCATTAAAAAGCTCGCGCGGTTGACCCATAAGAGCTTTTCAAAATTTTCTCCAAGGAGGAGGCTACCAGCATAAACATATTCCAAATGCCGGAGAAGTTTTGTCGAGATCACCAAAGATAATCACAAGATCATAGCCAACTGAATGATGCAAGAAAAGAGTGGTGACCACGATAAAATGATTTAAAAGACCTTGAGAAAGAGTTAGACTGAATGTATTAAGGTTGGTTCTTCAATAAGGTTCGGCAGAGTTGAGATGTAGGCTGATTAGGTTTAAAGACGGAAAGTTTTGTAGTTGATTGAGAATGTTTCTCACTAAGGAAGCTATCACCCCAGGGGAAGGAACTGCCATGCGTCCTCGACACACTCCCTGACAAAGACACAAGTAATGGGCCAAGAATAACTCCTGCCATTAACAAAATTGATGAGTGAATTCTTTTGGCAAAGACTTGATGCCAAACAAAAAGGTGTATGTGCTTGTTTTCTGCTTGAATTGTGCCACCGACATATAGGATTTAAACAAATTCATAGAGGATCTTCCAACATTCTTGTTCTTTGAATAAAGACCTAGATGGGTTACCTAGGGGTACTCAAAACTTATGGGAGCTATACCTCACTGGGGATGCCAAAGCTAATTTAAGAAGCAAGCCTAAACCGTTCAAGAAATC